TTTTTTTTTTTTTTTTTTTTTTTTTTTTTTTTTTTTTTTTTTTTTTTTTTTTTTAATTTTGTTTGTAAATTGTCAATGAAAAAAAGTAGATTGTTTTAAAATAAATAAACGGTTATTTATTGTCTAATTTTAAAAGATAGTAATGATAAATTATATAATTATAATTAATAATTTAAAACCAATGTCGTTACTGGTTTTCTATCACTAGAGGATGGTGGCATGGCATGGCTTTCTATCACTAGAGGACAGTGGCAAGACATGGCACGATTGTATAATCATTCTAAGTTTTCATTTCCAGTTAATTTTTAATTATCTTAAGATTGTCTTCGGATTTTAAATATATATATTTAAATGTTTATTTTTTTTCTTTACAAATTTAAAATTGAAACACAATAAACAATCACCAAAATAACATTCTGGTTACTTTAGTTCGTAGCATTCTTACCTTGTTTGTGTTTAGATCCTTAAATTTGAGGGGGAGAAAGAAAGGAGGAATTAAAGGAGAATAATTTTTTGGGAGATTTGGCGATATATCTTTTACTGTCTAACTTATCCTTTAAAAGGATAAGAATTATATGAATCCTTTCAAAACTCTTTAATATTTTAAAATTTGTTTATTTTACTATACTATTCTCATATATATGTGTGTGTGTGTGTATCAGATCTGCAATCACACACTCTATCTCATCTCAATCTCTCTTCTCTCTGTTTCGCTCTCTTGCCACCGCTGCTTTTCACTGGTGCCACCGCCGTTCACCATGGAACTCTTTCTCTACCGTCTTTATCATCATTGTCGCTCGTTGTTCGTTGCATCCACAACTTCAGATCTAAGATCATTCATAATTGTCATCGCTGGAAAATGACGGTTTGCGATAGTTTGCAAACCTTATATTTGAGCTCTCTCTTTGATTCTGACGGTTTGTGCTTTCTCTATGTGTGTGTATGTCATTCACCATTTATGCTTTCTCTCTCTCTCCTCTTCTTTTTTGTTTTTTTTTTCTTCTTCTTTTTTTCTCATGATGCTCTGCTTTTGAACTTTGTCTCCCTATTCTTCTCATGATGCTCTGTTTTTCAAATAGTAAAATTTTACTCTAGTTCATGACACATTTCTCTCTTGTAAAGCCATCATTGCAGCGTGTTTTAAAGTGAAATTTATTATGATTCAAAATAAAATCTTACTATCGTTAAGCAAATTAACATGTCATTAATTAGAGTAAAATTTTACTTTTATATACTAAATAAACAAACCAAAGTAAAATTTTACTTTTAAAGCTATGAACAAACGAACAAAAAGATTTTTCATTGCAATCTATCAATTTTTCATTTTTCTATCAAATCTAAGTTCATTTATCTTAGATATGAAGTTATGAGGGCTGCTATTAGCAGCTATCTAATTTCTTTGAACCCCTCAATTTTCATATTTTTTTAATTACAATTATATCCCAAAGTAAAATTACATTAAAAGATAATATTTAATGGAACACTTACCCACCAAATAAAGACAACTCTACAATATTGTACACCCATCTCCCTCACCTAAATGTATTCCTCACCCATCTAAACCCAACGTATTCCTCTTCATCAATGTTCATCTTCATCGCCATCCTTAAACCTAACGTTCCTTTTCATCACCATCCTAAATCCTAAACGTATTCTTTTTCATCACAATCCTAAAACCTGAACCAGAAATCATTGGTTGAATTGGAATGGATATTTGTTATATTGAACTCGAACAGAAAATGGTGAATTGAGGGTTAAGTTACACAACGCTGAAAAAATTGTTTGTGTTCAACAACACAGTGTTGAACAAATAATTTATGTTCAGCAACACAGTAGTGACAAAATTGTTTATGTTTGGCAATATAGTGTTGAACCAACCCTTGGGTAGTCGACCGATCGAATGACCATCCAAATGACCGGGTGGTCAACCGGTGGTGTGATTTTGGCTCAATTTTACAACAATGATGCAATATTGCAATGGTTTTGATAAAATGGATACCGTCATTCATTGATTTCGAATAAATCAAAGAGAGTAGCCGTCGTCGTTGTCGTTTTTCAACAAGAGATGGATAGTGTCGTCATTCTTCAAGCGGAGAAGAAAGGGGAGGGACTGTCTTCAACCATGATAGAAAGGGTGTGCAAAATTAGGTGGGTGTGCACTTGAGTGTAATGATAGTATGAACATGGATAAATTTGGTATTAAAGTAGAGTGTTAAAATAAATCTTATTAAAATTTAGAGTTTAGGGTGGGGGTTTAAAAAAAAAAAGGGAATCCAAAGAATTAAGGTAGGTGATAATAGCAACCCTCGAAGTTATTGATCTCAAATATAAGTTCGTAGGTATTAAATTTGAGATGGTGGTTGTTTAATAGTAAAAATGGTGGTCGTGGGTTGACGGTGTGTAATAACCCCGACCCGTAATTAGCTACTAATCAATGATTAAAGATGCTAATTGAGTGGATCAAATGAATTATGGGATTAATATGTAAATTGCATGATATTTGGCCTTCTATCTGTTACTTATAGAAATATCTGTTTGGAATTTCTACTTTAATATGTAAATTGGAAGCCTTATCGACATCTGAAACCGGAATTGATTACGTCAATATGTTATTTGAAATTTTTAGAACTATATGGCAACTTTTATTAAAAATTGATTCAGTCTAATTCGTTAAGTTGCGTTTGGCAAGCCTTATGTTCTGTTTAATGTGTTTTTGCACCATAAACATATATATGAGATATAAGCTCATTTTGAGCTCATTTTCTTTGCTCCCCTTAGTGCAAAAATCTGAGGTTTTCTTTTAAAGAGAGAGAAAGTGCAATTCTAGAGAGAGATAAGAGAGATTAAGGAGGAATTAAGGCTATAGCTTGAATTGATCAAAGATTGTGCAAGTACCTAGCTAATTGAAGACTCTAGATAAGATTACAACCTCTAGATTGTGTAACTAAGTCATTTAACATGAAATTTCTTCAAGATTATGTGCTTAAGGGTGTGTATTGAGCTTAGAAGGAAGATTTGAGTGGCAATTCATGCATGCATGTACATTTTCTTACAATTTAGCATGATTTCCATGAATCTTCTCTTGCATGTTTGAAATTCATCTTCATTTGGGGAAATCATTAAGTTTCAAGTTGTTTTGTGGTGTTTGATCATGTTTTGAGAAGTTTGATATAAGAAAAATTTATGCATGTTGTGTTCATAAACATTCATCATGTTTTAAGTTGAAATTGTGAGTTTTTAACAAACCCTTGGGCCATAATTTTATGAAATGATCCTAAATTCTTCATGTTTTACAAGTTTACTATGTTATCTAAAGTTTTGGGGTCCAAGAGATGTGTTTTTGTCACGACCCCATCCCGCCCCTAGTAGAATGGTGCCGTGATGGCCAGTAATCCGAGATTACCGAAGACCAACTTTCAAGAGTCACACACAATCAGAGTATAATATATGGGGCTAACATGTGCGGAAGCAATACATACAAATCTAAATAGTCCATGAGAGCAGTGCATAAGTTAAATGGAAAGGCATACATCTTTACATAACTTTCATACAACAAAATGAAGTACAAAAATACATCTTGACCAAAAGGCTTCTCAACTGTCAAATACAAAATACAATAAAATACAACTAGGAAGCATAATCTTCAAGATGCGGCAAAAGTGCATAATCCAAAACAAGTAGCAAGTACATCTAGGCGTCACCGCCGTCCTGCTCGTCACCTACATATATATAGAGAGGGGTGAGCTTGGATACTCAGTGAATGGTATAAATAATAAAGGGGTTTGCATGAATGATATCCGAAATCTTTATTAAATCAAGGCATAACACATATTGTACAAAATCCAAGGACAAATCAAGTTTATCTAACAAATCTTTTAAGTCTCAACAATCAAAGTCTATCAAGGCTTCCAAGTTCCAAGGGATGACATTAACAAGGTTGTGCTACAAATGATTATCGTCCCCTAGCACGTACGGGCTTTTCAAGATTGTGCTACAAATACTTATAGTCCCTTAGCACGTACGGACTTTTCAAGATTATGATTCAAAACAAGACTAATACTTGATATACAAAATAGGGATCATCATCTATGCTTCGCAAAATACTTTTCCAAAACAAGCAAGGCAAAACTTTATCAAAACTTAATAACATAACTTTATTAAAAATACCACTCACATAGCTCTTCAGACGTCGGGGTCAAGGCAAGTCCAAACCCTACAAACACATGGCAAAGTCTGTTGAATGCACTTTCAAACAAGTTCACATGCATACAG